GAGTTGAAGTCCACCCATATTCAAGTTTCAAGTTTGAAAAACATTGCTCTAAATGCTTGGAGTATGGCGCCCCCTGGTGTCTTAACCAGGGCACTGCAGCTTTGGGGAAGAGTCAGTGGGTCGGCAGCACTGCGTCCCCAACCCTCCCGCTCTGTTCCGAAATGGGAAGCAGCTTCCTGTTCGCTGGGAAACTGGCAGACCGATGCGATTGTCAAGTCGCTGCTGTCCCATGAGGCAGGTGGCTTCAGGTGAGTCGGGCAAGCGAGCCCAGCCACGGACGCGGAGAGGACTGCAGGATCCTGGGATCTGGCAGTCAGCCATCCCTTGAAGACTTGGGCAGTGTGACAAAAAATTGGCAGGAGAGGGAAGAGAAGGTTTTGGGTTTTTGTTAATCTCACGCCCCCTGCCAGGTGACCCTGGAGAAGTGCTCCATGTGCTCGAAGCCCATCATGGATCGGATCCTGCGGGCGATGGGCAAAGCCTACCACCCGCAGTGCTTCACCTGCGTCGTCTGCCACCGCTGCCTGGACGGGATCCCGTTCACCGTCGACGCCACCAGCCAGATCCACTGCATCGAAGATTTCCACCGGTGAGGCTGGGGCTCCCGTCCGGCCCGCTTTCGGGGTCAGCACCAGGGGGCCAGAAGGAGATCCTCCGCCCCGCCCGACGCCATGCTGCAACTCTCATCCTCCCCAGCCAGCAGGACAGGCGGGCTGCTGGCTGGAGAGGAGGGGGGCAGAGGCCCGAAACATCTGGAGGACGCCAGGTGGGAGAGGGCCGCCGTCATGTCTGTCCTGCTCCCCTCCCCACAGGAAATTTGCCCCCCGGTGCTCCGTGTGCGGAAATGCCATCATGCCCGAGCCGGGACAGGAGGAGACGGTGCGGATCGTGGCCCTCGACCGCAGCTTTCACATCAGCTGCTACAAGTGCGAGGTGAGCGGTGGGGCGGCCCCCCCCCGGCCTTGCCGCCCGTCTCGCCTGGCCAGAGGGGCTGGCGCGCTGGGCCTCCCTGATTTTGAGGGAGGGAGGGATTGGCACCCTTGGGGCCAACCCTGAGCATGGCATCCGGTTTTCCTTTTGCCGCCCCCAGGAGTGTGGGCTGCTGCTCTCTTCTGAAGGGGAGGGCCGAGGCTGCTATCCCCTGGACAGCCATATCCTCTGCAAGAACTGCAGCGCACGGCGGATCCAAGATCTCTCCTCCAAGATCACCACCGACTGCTGATGGGGGGGTTACCTCGGCCTCCTCCTCCTGGGGGTGCCCCGGGTTGGGGCCTCGTGGGCTGCTCTACTTCGCACCCCTCTCAGGCGCCCCCTTCAAAGAAAAGATCTCATTGCTCTAATGCAGTGTTTCTCAACCTCGGCCATTTTAAGATATGTGGACTTCGACTCCCAGAATTCCCCAGCCA